GGCGCGGCCGCGGCCGCGCCGCCCGCTCCCGGCATGAGCAGCTGCTGCAGCATGGCGGTGATACGCTGGCGGCCCTCTGGCGCCAGCGGCAGGCTGCCCACCAGCTGCTGCAGGTCCAGCTTGCCGTGCTGGATGTCGCGGCACAGCTTGCCCAGAGACTGCGGGGCACACAGCGGGAGGCGGCGGTTTGGGGTTTAGGGTTCGGGCGGCGCGGCGAGGAAGACACAAGCTCAGCCGGCTCAGGCATGCACAAGCAAAGGACACGCGGGCCGCGCCAAGGATGGCGGGAGGGCACAGAGCGAGCGGCGCTCGGCGCGAGCGCAAGGCAGCGGGAGGGAGCAGCAAGGCAGCAGCGGTTTGTCACGAGGCGCCGTGCGGCGGGCGGCAGGGCGGCGGGCCGCCGCCACTCACCGACTCCAGAAGGGGCCGCACATCGGCCGGCAGTTGGGCCAGCTGGGCCTGGATGGAGGCAGGCAGCGAGTGGGCGGAGCCGCCCTCCGCCTGCTGCTGCTGCTGCGGCTGCTGGCCGCCCGCGGCGGCGGCGGGAGCGGCGGAGCCTGGCTGCTGGTGCTGCTGCTGCTGCCGCTGCTCCTGGCGCTGCCTGTTGGCAGCCAACTTCTGGGCAGCTGCATCCAGGAACTGCTTCACTGTGGGGTGGCCCTCCAGGTTGACCCCGGCAGGGGCGGCCTGCGCCTGCGCCGCCTGCGCCTGCCGCTGCGCCTGCTGCTGCTGCGGCTGCCGCTGTGCTTGCTGCGGCGCCTGCTGCGGCGGCGGCTGCCGCTGTGCTTGTTGCGGCGCCTGCTGCTGCGGCTGCTGCTGCGGTTGTCGTGGCGCCTGCTGCTGCTGCGGCTGCTGCTGCGCTTGTCGTGGCGCCTGCTGCTGCGCTTGTTGCGGTGCCTGCTGCGCCTGCTGCGGCGCCTGCTGCGGCGCCTGCTTCGCGGCCGGCTTGGCCAGGCGGGCCAGCAGCGCAGCCACCTGCTGCTGCTGCTGGCTGCTGCCAGAGGTCAGCAGCTGGGCCAGCACGCCGGCCACCCCCTCCACAGACACCTTGCCGCTGCCCAGCAGGGTCTGCAGCGCGGCCACCTCCGGCGCAGGGTGCACCTGCTGCACAACCACCTGCACCTGCGGCTGCGCCTGCTGCGCCTGCTGCGGGGCTGGCTGCGGGGCTGGCTGGGGCGCGGGCTGGGGCGCAGGCTGCGGTGCGGGCTGCGGTACGGGCTGAGGTAAGGGCTGCGGCACAGGCTGCGCTGCGGGCTGAGGCTGAGGCACGTGCTGCGCAGGCTGCGCAGGCTGCGGAGGCTGCGTCGGCGCGGCGGGCTGCGTCGGCGCCGCCGCCGGCGCCGGGAGCTGCCCCCGCAGCAGCCCTTGCAGCTGCGACATCATCTCCTGGACCTTAGGGTTGCCCGGCTGCTGCTGGTTCACCTGCGCCAACGCCTGCGTCAGCTGCTGCGCAGCTGCCGCAATGGCGGTGGCGGCGCCGGGCCGCGGCGCCGCCGCCGCCGGCGCCGCCCCCGCCGGCCGCGACACGACCAGCGGCGGCGGCGGCTGGGGCGGCAGCGCAGGGCGGCGCCAGTCCGGCTGCTGCGCCGGCTGCTGCTGGTACTGCTGGTACTGCTGGTACTGCGGCTGGTACTGCGGCTTCGGCGGCGGCGGCCACCGCGCGAGCGCCGGCCACTGCACGCCGCCAAACGCGGCCGCGCCCTGCTGCTGCAGCATGCGCGGCCCCGGCTGCTGCGGCCAGCCGGGCCCGCCGCCGAAAGCTGGCTTGGGGCCCGCCAGCGCCTGCAGCGCGCCCTGCAAAGCGGCTCCCAGGTAGGCGGGC